GGTGTTCAACTTCTTAGTTGTGTGTTTCCCTAAGAAATGATTTTTTCCTTGACAAACAGCCCAGTTCAAGGATCACTTCAACTGTGCCAACACAGCTGGTAGCCATTATGGGCTCAGCATCTTTTCTCCCTCCCAAGCCACCCAAATATGTGAATCTGTGAGCTATGACCTTTCCCCCACCCTCACTGCAGAAGAGCTCAGGCTGAAATGTCCCATCTGCACTCTCCATCTCAGCTTTGAGTAACAGAAAAATTTTTCCAGCCTTGCTTCCTTACCCCTAACAGGAGGTCAACCAATGTGTCCAAAACTAGGGGAAAGTCAATAAAGTATCCATTTTATTGTTTTCAAATTTGTCATTTGGCTCTTAGATTTTCTTTGGCTCATTACGCTTTACCCTCTCTACCTCCTTGGCTGCTTTATAGTCTTTTAATTCCTTAATTTATTAAAGAGGTAGAAGACGTAGCTTAATAAGGATTTATCTCCCATATTTCACTTCGTGGTGCTGGCATATAGAAAGGGAACGGTATTTAGTGAATTGAATTGAAATGATTAAAGCCTGTTGAGGATAGTTAGTCTGGGGAGAGGGAAAAGCTAACAGATGACTTAAGTAAGTCTTCCAGAAAGGTGGAGAGCCTTTAGGTGAGTGTTAAGTAAAGCAGCCTAAAACACTGGCATGAATTACTGAGAGAGTTGGCAGCATCTCTGTCCCTGGAAAGCTTCATAATATGGTGGCCATTGATAAACCTAAAGACTGAAGGATGGACCAGATGAGCTCTCGAGATGTCATACGTAGTTCTGAAGAATCTAAAACTTAGTCCTAAGCCTCCTACTAACAAGCTAGATGACCAGAAGCTAGTTACTTATTCTCTCTGAGCCTGCTTCCTCGCCTACAAAATGAGGAGTTTGAACTAGGTAGTCTCTAAGGTTCCTTCCAGCTTTGATATTCTATGACTAAATCTATTAAGTTGTAAACCCATTAGTAAATAATCATCGCATATGAGGAGTGTGAAGAAAATTGGCATGGGCCAGTTCATTAGAGGAAATGGAAAAATGAGTTGTTGTCCAAATTTTTATTCTCCTATGATTACATATATATATGTAGTCTCTGGTGGCGTAGTGGGCAAGGCATTTGGCTGTTACCCACCAGTTGCTCCACAGGAGGAAAATGAGGCAATCTACTTCCATAAAGATTTACAGCTTT